TTATTTTGCTAAAAAGATAACGCGTTCTCTATTATATTTTAATAAAGCGATGTATAAATAAAGTTATAAAATTATAAGTAAATAAAAACAAGGATTTTTCGCACAAAGAATAGATAACGCTGTGATTTATATAGGGATTACCGCTTCAGAGATAATAAATCAATGACGATATGAAGTACGAAACAAGTGACAGGTTTCATACGGCAGTTTACGCTCTGTGCCACAAGTCTGAACAAGTCACTCACGAGTCTAACAAGGCGATGATACATCCGCATACCCGCGCACTTATTTATAAACGCGGGTGGCTCTCCTCGTGAGTGCGGAAGACAGAAACAGGTGTCTGTTGCTGTACAACAGAGCGATGTATCGCATTGTTGCAAAGTCACTATCTCTCAATTAAAGCTTAAAGTTACTAATATATATAATAATATTATGACGGAAAATTATCGCTAATTCTGAGACGATATTGCAAGATCAACATCAAAATTAAAAAAGCTATATCAGGATTGATTTCCTTGCATTTACAGTCACAATTCTTCCCTGGCGGAAAAGCTTTTACGAAAAACAGATTAAAACAAGATTTTAGAAATTACTAGTTTTTCATAGAATATAAACTAAAATTTTCTAAGATCTTGTCTCAATCTATGTAATTTTTCTGTACTTTCTCGTAAACATTTTTTTTTCGCCAGGGATGTTTCTGCAACATTTTCTTAAAAAAAGCGTTGCCTTGAAAATTTCTTACAAATTTTTTGAAATCCAAATGACTCCACAATATAACACAGACGCACCGATATGTATGCGTATGTAGTTTGCGGAAATTACAGGCCGATTATTATTAGCAACTTACCACGGCCTTGCTCGCGCTTTCCGGTGTCAGCTTTTTGTTGACGTCCGCCGGCTCGAACTTGAAGTTCGTGAGATTCACGGTCAGAATGCCACCTTTGTAGAAGCCAAATGTGCTCAGGGTGATGTAGTGCCTGCCGTCCTTCTGAAATACGAATGACACTTCCGTGAGCGAGAACGGATACGTATTCTGCCAAGAATGAGAAGGGAGAGCGAGAGAATCAAAGAACCGTTCTTCAGCAGAGGATCTGAAAAGGAACAGATATGTGCGAAGGGTCCGACGACTCGCACGTCGACGTTCTTTGGCTTTCCTCTTTATAGAAAAAACTCTGGAAATTTTTTCTAGGGACATACTACGTAACCGCACAAATTAGAGTAATCCATAACAGTGTGCATTGCGATTGCTCACACTCAGAGGAAAAAAACGTAAGTGACAACTGTTTAAGTGATAATTGTAAAAATTTTATATATAGAATTAATGTACACACACACATATATATAATTGAATAAATTATTTTATAGTTATTGAAACTGATGATTTGCTTCAAAGATTTCGACATTCAAACTTTGAAGCTTCAATATTAAAATTTTCGAAGATCGAAATTTTAATGCGAAACTTCGATCTTTAAAGCTTTGTGAAGTATCGAAATTATCATAATTAATTTAATGTGGTGAATAGTAATACATTTTCATTAAAAATATACGAATACATTTATAAATATATTTTCTATTGGCACACATATATTTTTCGAAGATTTAAATTTTTTCAGTGAAGCTCCAATCTTTAAAATTGTCAAAATTAAGTAACAACCTTAATTGCAAAAATAAAATAGTTTGTTCGATTATGCACACTAATTCTACATATAAACCTTGTCAAGAGTAAAATAATTTGTTGTTTGAAGGAATCCTCTGCATTTAAAAAAAAACAGTGGCAGCAACTATAAGGGCTTTTTTTTATTTTATATAAGTTTTATATGTAGAATTAATATACACACACATAATATTTCTAAATAAACTGTTTTATAGATGTAGTTATTTTGAAATAGTACGTTTAACTAGCATTAATGTATATGTGTATACATTAATTCTATATATAAAACTTATGGAGAGAAAATTGCCACTTTTAATCACTATAATTTTCTCGAATTGAGTGTATGGTAGATAATTCTTTTTAGAACTATCCCAGATAAAAAAACTTCAAGTCAGCTTGCTATCTACGATAGTTGTTGTTTAAAGGAGTCCTATTCACTCAGAAAAAATAGCAACTATGAATAATATACGATAACAATTTTTTGTGCAAGCTTTATAAATAGAATTAATGTACATAGTTATAAACGAACTATTTTATAATTGTAATAATTATATAAAATACTTTAATTAATGTATGTGCATTAATTCTACATATATATAAAATTTGTATATAGTTGTCATGATTTTCTCTCAGTACAGACGATTTCTTCTACGACTATCTTAGACAAAAAAATATCAGCTTGCTAGTCCCAGGCAATCTTCGTGTTAGCTTATTATTCCGGATTCTCTTGTTTGGATCCTCTGCACTCAGAAAAAAAAAATATATAGTAACTGATGACAATTTTATACAAGTTTTATACATAAAATTAAATGTACACACGTAGTTAAACAAACTATTTTATAGTTGCATATAATGGTTTGTTTAACTACAAATAATATATGCATTAATTCTATATATAAAAATTTGTACAGTTGTCACCTTTATAGTTGCTATCATTATGTTTTTCTTAGAGTGTAAAAGATTTCTTCAAAGACCCAGACAAAAAACGTCAGCTTATGCTACCTAGAACGATTCTTGCTTCGGAAAGAACCATTGCGTAAGCGTCAATCAGACGTGTCTGTCAGCTGTCTATCGTCAGTTACAGCCGCACAGTTGAAAGTTGAAACCCGACAATCATGACGTAAACTACGTACATTAACGTAATATACGTTGCGCTTCGGAATTATCGACGCGCGCACGATATTGTCGATGATCGTCGCTCGTTTCTCACGGCTTTGTATGGCTGTTATATGTGCGTACAGAGTATCGCAATGTCCTTCGATTTTCCCGTCGCAGGACCTATTTTGTATAGCGCGTGAAAATAGCCCAATCATCGATAAAGTGACCCTCGATAAATTCGTAGACGCGTTGCGGAGCGCTGCCACGAGCCTGTGCGTGTCACCTTCTTTCTCCAAGTAGGAATCAAGACGCGTGATAACGATAATGACGGACGGCGCCGTCTGGAAGACGTAACCAACCCGTATGTCCAGCTTGTGGATCCTCGCGCTTGCCACAGCCACCAGCAGCAGAAGCGGCAGGACAACCGCGCTTGGCCGCTGCATTTTCTTTTCTCGGCTCTTCTCGCTGCCGCACCGTCGATCACTACACCGGGTGTCACATCACAAGGGAGGACGGCGCGCGCCGCGTTAGAGAATCGCTTCGCCTTTGCTCGTCGATACGCGAGCAGGAACTGAGGTGGTTCAGGCAATTTCGGCTGACTGGACTGGTACGGCCGGAACCACCGGACTGGACCGCTGATACTTTGCGCGATCCGCAGTGTTGCAGCCAAACGAAACAATTACGAATCACCATGATATCACAATGACATTCAAATGGCTCCAAAGTGATTATAAAAAGTTACTTTTCGATCAGTCGAGATTCATTTTAACGTTATTTTCACGTTATCGTGACCTGTCGTTCTACTTGGAGTAAAACGAAGGAACATGTGAATCGGACCGCGTGCGCCTGAATTTTAATTAGGCTCAACGCGCTACTCTGGCTGGTCAAGAAAAACGTCAAACGGTTTTTCTTTTCTTTTTTTTTATGAGAATCCTGTAGTCGTATCATGGACTACGTTTCGATATTCACTGCCAGTGCTGAAAATCTATAGCATACGTTACGTACGTTATAGATTTTCAATACTGGCATGAATATCGAAACGTAGCCTCGGTTTCGTCGCCAGGGCCGACCTAGTAAACATTTTTTTCAGAATTTTAATACGATTGGAACATGCTTTCAGAAATATTGAGAAAGTCTACAGCCTTTCTTAGAATTTTGTATATAAGTCAATTCTGAAATATTCTAAGATTTATGAGATTTCTTATTCTCTATATTTTTTGAAAAAAAATTACATTAAATTTTTTTTTAGAATTCAATAAAGAAAACGGTTCAATAATTTAAATTAAGTAATATAAAATAGGGCTACGAATCACTCTGGATGTTTTGTGAGACTTTTTTTATATACAACAAAATTCAAAACAGATGTTTCGACCTCTATCGGGTCATTCTCAATGTTAACATTTTTTTTTAAACTTTTTAATATTTTATCAGAAATTTTAGAATAAAAAACTTTAGAAATCTAAAAATGTTTCAGCGTTCATATATGATAAGAATCGTAGAAAAGATGCAGACTTCGACATTTAGTCTGAAGTGTTCCAATTTGTATAAACAAATTAAGAAATTATTTATATAAACAATTAAGAAATTTTCTAGAAAATTATAAAATTATTAAAAAATTCTAAACATTTTGGAATTTATGTAAAATTTTTTTAATTTAAAAAAAATATGAAAAATTCTAAGAAAAATTTTCATCAGGGAGACGGCGACGCCCGATGGCCTGTAGCTTTATTCTTTCCTCTTCGGACGTGTTCGCTTTATTACAGTTTACACCGTTCGGTTCGCGAGTGCAGATAGTACAATATAGTGTATCTTGAAAAAAACGGACACGTTTGATATTTGACCTTTCCAAGTTTCCATTTTGATTTTACATTACAAAAAAATCTATTTAAAGGCTGTGAGAAGAGATACGTGTAACGTGATAATTAGGCGATTGAGGAACTTTCAATAATTTTTTCATTCATGACAACTCGAAGTGATATTAGATATTAGATGAGCTAGATCGCTGGCATCGCGTATCCGCGTTTTGAACACATAGGCTACTAGGCTGTGCTGGCTAGGGGACGATCGACGAAGGATGAAGTGATCTAAGACGATTGGAGTTTTTGTGACTACAACCATATGTCAGCTGATCGGCTCACATTTAATTCAGTTGCGGTACTTGCGAAATTTGGCCGTATCGACCTCCTTTTGTTGTTTGGAGGCGGGAGCCATTAAGTAATAAGCGGTACTTGCGATAGTTGCGTTTCGAATTCGAGTTGAAAAAGCGTTTCCTCACTCATTCCGAGTCTCGATTTATTTATACGTTGATAACCAAGTGTGATTAATATCCTGAGAGAGAGAGAGAGATTCTCGAGTACTTTTGCTCAATTTTGCTCAAGTTATAAAGGTAAAAATGAAATCAGATAAATTCCTTGACTAAAGATCCCTCGGAATGTTCCGATTTGTGGGGCAAAAACGAGGGATACAGATAAATGTAAACGTGCTATTTTGTAGTTTGTAGGTTATATCTTATTGTCGTATCTTTCTCGCAGGAAACCTTAGATCTTCTTCGAAATATTATGGAGGAGGATAAAGATTTCAAAAATATTTGGAAAGTTTACCGTTCATCTGAGACAGAACGGGTCAGATCAAATACTTTACCTGGATTGTTGCCGTCCAATAAGCAGTCGTTCGAATGTAACCCGAGTGGCAATTTGCATGCTTTAATCAGACCATACAGTTGCGAACTATATGGGAGTAACAGAGAATTAAGGTACTTTTTTATTTAATAATTGTGCATGGAGGAATCAGCCCCCACGATCTTGACTTTGATATATATTGTTATGATTCTGAGTAACCTCCAACAAGTTTTAGCCCTCATTCGTTATTCATTAAAAAATTAACAAAATTTTTATAAGTAAAAGGTAATTTTTGAACACAAGGTATATATTTTATTATATGTTCTTCATATATTCTGCTATATAATTTATACGATACTCTTCTTTTATGTCAAAATAGTATAAAGATATTTTATACAAGGTGAGAGCCATCCAACGCCTCTTTCGTGTCAAGAAGTATTTGATTTAATTGTTGACATAAATTTGACAATATAAATGTGTCTTTATTTAACATTTTGTAAGTAGAGGGAAATATGGGGTCAAGTCGAGAAAGATGAATATGTTTATAAACATATATATATATATATATATATATATACA